TGTATGTATGTATGTATGTATGTATGTATGTATGTATGTATGTATGTATATATATATCAATTTAAACCACTGGTTTAAATTGAATTTATTTCAGTTTAGTTTGACATTTTCTCTTTTACTCCCAAAATTGTAGTTATTAACTCAGGAAGGACACAGGCAGGCTACCTAAAATTTTATACAAGTCTAAAATGTTGATATAAAAGTGCTCAGCAACTAAAACTGTTTTTGGAATAACAAAATACTGTAAATACTTAACACCTCCAAACTCAAGAGTCAAGAACTGCACAATAAAATCCAAGAATAAAATGTAAAAAAAAACAATTACTGGGTCATAGATGATCAAGTTAATGTGGGGATTGGTTTGCAATGCGGCACATCCATCCTGATATTATTACCAAGACAAACAAAAAGAGGGCTTCTCTGATGATACTTTGACAAGACGTAATGATTCAGGTAAGGCCTAATGTTTTGAGGTGTGACCCACAACATGGTCTACTTATAGTCAAAAGATCTTTGAAACCCTATTGAAGAACCTAATAAAACAACTCAATACTTTGCCAATAATTTGACCCGATTATGCGGTATAAAGAAAAGAAGATTTATGTAGAGAGGATTGATGTCGGAGGAATGGTCCGATGTACAAAAACATGTTCATGAGACTAATTCTAATCAGAATAAAGGTCAGCTTTGGAAAAAGAGGTTGTAAGAAGGGTCAAATTTGATGACACACAAGTTACATTCACTTTTTCTTTACAATATAATGCAAAAAGTTTTATGGTGGATTTTCTGCAATAGTTGTGGACTCAAGAATTAAACATGTCAACTGTCTTGTGGTGACTTATGAAGATACAAATAGGAAACAGTAGTTTTTTTTATTCACACAGTAGATGTTTGAAAGTCAAGAAGCGAAAGTAAAACCTGGACAGTTCACTAGTCTGTCAAACACACAGAGGTATGATGACCCAACCAAATGCACACAGTTCATATCAGAGTTGTCTGTTGACCTAACATTAATGTTTTTAGATTGTGGAAGGAAACCAGTAAAAATGTTTAAAAATCTCACAAAGAAACACGCAAACTCCTCATGGAAAGATAACAGCTAATATTCTAATAACCAGTGAATAATGGAAATACACAAAACAGGAGTAGAGTTCCCAAAGGTGCAGGACTTCAAATACAGAGGATTGACTGACCAGGAAAATGGACAATGTGTGGTTTGGAGACAGTAACTTTGACAAAAGGACAGGAGACTTAACTGGAAGTGGCAGAGTTGAAGACGTTAAGATTTTTTATTTATTTATTTATTTTTGTGAGTGAGAAGGGTGGATAAGAGTAGGAATGAGAGCATCAGAGGTACAGTTAGGTTGAAGGACTGGTAGATAAAGAGGCCAATTTTACATGGTTTGGACATGTCCAAAGGAGGGGCAGTGGGTATATTGGTATGAGTTGCCAGGAAGAAGGCTAAAAGGAGATATATGGATGCTGTTAGAGGGCATGGAGATAGTTGGAGTGGAGATGGAGGAGGATGACTCACTGAGGTGACCCCTGAACAGACAAAAGAAGAAGGGGTTATCATGTGCCACAGCAGAGAAGTTGTTAGAGGTTTGCCTCCTGGCCTTTTTGTGAGAAGTTTCTTGTTCTCCCCAAGCAGACATGGGTGTTCTCCGGGTACTCAGGTTTGCTCCCACTGACTAAAAATGTACATGCTGGGTTTACCAGTAACTAAATTGTAAGAGCTTGAATTGCTGGTTGTCTCGTTCATCTATATGTAGCCAAACAAACAATTTTTTCTATAAGTATGGATGACTCATGTTTCACGAAAACATCCATTCATGTGTATTTGCTTGGTGTAGAAAGTCCCATAAGTACAGATATTTGAGCATAGGTCCTGACCCAAATCTGGCACAGTGCTGTACTGCCTTTGTGGTATTCCCCAAGGTGAAGATATTAACCTCTTTAGGGTGTACGTTTTGTGGCCGTAGTTACACCGATGGCGCTGGCGCTATGACAGGAACGCTGTTTATTGACAATAAAGGAGCAATTTAAACTGACATTTGACATCAGATATGCCTCGAGTAAATCTATCAGGGGACCTCATTCAAGCTGTGTCCTCCTGTTGTATTATGATGGTGTTCTCTGGGGAGTCACAAGTCCCTTTTTTGTGAAAGGATGTTCTGCAAGAGTCTTAGGATTTCCACCTCAGATAGGCGTGTCTTTCTTTTCTCACAGTGTACAAAAAAAGCATTGAGATTTTTTATTTTTTTTTACACAGCCTGAAGCCAGAACAGAAATAATCCATGACAAAATGTGCCATCACACAAATGACGGTAAAGCTTTTATCAACTGAAAGGATCTTCAAGACAAACACGACATCAAATCACTGATATGGGTGGATGACAATTACACCATTGTTATCCATCTGTTTATCTAAAAATGTTCTGTTATCTATCTTACACAAATGCATCCACCATAAAGATTTATATTACTGAAAGAAATATATTTTTTATTATGTGTTTTGTTTCTTGTGGAAAAACCATTGATTTCAACTCCTAAAGTGTCTAAATAACTTACAAACCTTAAGATAATTCAACGGGTGAATCTTTTTATACCCAGCAGGTTCTGGAACAACCGGAAAAACTTTTATAACTAAAACAAGATCCTTTAATGAAGCAAAAACAAGCAAGGCATTTTTTCTTTCTTTCTTCAAGACTGAACTATATGTTCAGTGCCAAAAAAAAGATGAAATTTAAAGCCCGGTTTAGGTTACCCCATTGTGTTCCCGCTCACACCCATGTAAGGAAGATCATATAAATGGAGGGTTCTGTCAAAACGAGAGCATACGACTCAAGATGAAGACATCCAGGTGAGTCCCAAGATAGTTACTTGTTCCATTGGGATACTTCAGTTTGAGTCTATTTTACTGCTGCAGTGGGGTAAACATCTAGTTTCTTTTATGCTTTCAGATGATTTTTTTAAGCACATTTAGTCAGAGTACTGAGCTGCACTAAATTTGATTAATACAAGCATTTTTATTTCAAGGTAGTTGGGGTTTAGCTTAAATGCATGCTTTTCCTTTTGGTAACTGTTACTTTTCTGCAAGTAAGGTCATTTTAGCTGTTCTTGAAGATGGTTTGTTGGAACTGATGTTTTCAATGTGTTTTCTCACAGGTCAACACTGACAACGATGATGTTGGTCATCCTTGGCTGCCTGCTGGGTTTGTTTCTGCAGGCTGATGCTCAAGGTTCAACTGTATGCCTTACAGATCCTACTTACAGAACTCCAGGTTTGTGTTGGTGTCTGCTGCATTCAGACCATTCTGCTTCAAACCTCCCACTTCTTTGGTTTACATTATTTCTTTTTATTTTCTTCCAGCAAACACAGACATTTCAGTAACATGTGGCAGCCAGTTCATGGACCTGAGCATCTACATATGTCCTATTTACAACGCTTTGTACAACGAGTCACTGATGGTGCTGAACAACCAGTTGAATAACCCTGCTTGTTATGGGGTGGCCGACTTCGTTTCTACTCCACCAGTTTTAAGATTCAGATTCCCAATAAATGACACTCTGTCTTCAAACTGCGCCAACAAATATGTGGTATTTAATTCAAAAGCTTTCTGCTACAGTTTATTATTCTGATTTATTCAGTGTTAACATTCTAAAATGTTTAAGTTTTCTAAGATACATTAAATTTTTTTGTAGATAACCACGCAGACAGGAACCGGAGCATTTTCAGATTTCTCAAACGTTCAGTCTGTCAACATCTCTGGCGTCGTTACGGCCATTGACCCTTCTGCAGGTACGATCACGTATCGTTCACAGATCCTCTACTACTTCTCCTGCTCCTACCCTATGAACTACCTGCTCAACAACACCCAGCTCAGCGTGTGAGTATGCCAGGCACAATTATAAATGGACTTATTGATGAATGACAGAAAATTACAAATCTGATCAATTTTGTTTCTTTTTAAATGCAGATCAGGCACGAACGTTGCCATAAGAGACAACAATGGTAGCTTCATCAGCACCCTTAGTATGAAGCTGTACAGCGTAAGCCAAACACTTTTATTCACTTTTGTTTATCTTTATGTGTATTTTTATTCCAGCCAGTTGAAATATTGTTTTCTTTTCCATAAAACAGGATAGCGCTTATCTACAACCGCTAGTGATTCCATCAACAGGACTCAACATCAAGACCAAGGTTTATGTAGAAGTTAAAGCTACTAATCTAACAAGCAAGTATGTACACTTTAAACAGTTTATTCAAGACCAGTCATATCAGAACAAAACATGAGGACAGTTACTAAAGTCTTGGTTTTCCGTGCTTAAAAGGTTCAACGTTCTGCTGGACAGATGCTTTGCCACAGTAAGTCCATTACCTGTTCAAAGCAACTACTACGACCTTTTTGTTGGGTGAGTTACAATCATAATACCACAATAAAACAACAGCTTTTATTTTATGTTATAATTATTTGTTAAAGGAGATCTTTGTACTCTTTATTAAAAACTATCCCCCAATCTCTTGTTGCACTGAAGTTGTACCCGTGACCCTCAGACAGTCATCGATATTAACGGAGCTTCACAATCAGCACGTTTCAACTTTGAGGCCTTCCGATTTGTGGAACAAAGAAATCTGACAATTTCCACTTTCTACCTGCACTGTCTCACCAGACTCTGTGAGCCAGCCACATGTAGCTCCTTTAAGCCCGTGAGTACATTTTACTTGCTGTAAAGGTTTGTTGTTGTTAGTAGAATGACCCAGTGTCGTTTTTAAATTTGTTTTATTTCTCATCTCTAGGTCTGCAATAAAAGAAGAAAGAGAGAGGCAGACCCGGCCAATTTACCCTCGACTACAATCACCTCTAATCCTGTTCATGTCAATGACAAAGTTGGTGCGTCATCATGCAAAAAATTGTGAACACACATAAGATTAATTTTTCGTATTATTTAGAATGTGTCCAGACCTGGATGATTTGGATAGCTGCTTAAATTTATTACAGTTTTACTTAATTTGTCTTAGTTGATTTACTAAAAATCCGTGAGAAAAATGGTTGTGCACTGATTCGAGTTTTTACCCTTTTACTGAATATTTTTATACTAGTCACACTGTATTATATTCTTATTATTCTCTCTTTCCTTAGGTAATACTAAAAGCTCAGCAGTTTCTCAAGGCAATAACAATCTGTATCTGACACTGATCTGGGGGATTATCTTAAATGGACTGCTTTATTGGTATTTGTCCAGCTTTTGACCATGAAATATATCCCTGTATTGTTGTTCTGTTTGACATTCTAAAGTTTCTCGTTATTTCTGCTCCAACAGTATCAACTGAGACCATCTACAGCTGTCCGATAGTCACCATCATTGTCTGCATCTGTATCCTCACCGTTTCCATTGCTGCCCAGGCTGCTTCCTTTGTTTCCTACTCGAGACGAAGGAAACAACTTATAGGTTAAAGTTACCTGATTTGTAATCTGGAGCTCTTTTCACATCTCTAACTCTTCATCATCTACAAAGCATGAACAACTTACTTTTAGATAGTCCTCAAATTTGGCATGCATGTATACATTTGTATAAATCACAAAGCTGATTAACAAGGAGATGAGGGCTCAGTATATGTACATTGAAATGTTTATGGAAATCACTTTTTAGTTGTAATTGTTTTATTCAGATCATACTGAAGTATTTATTGGGAGATGACATCATTTATAATCAGAAATGTGGTTCTTTGTAATTGGTTTTGCTGAGAATAGGTTTTAAAAAGTTTTATTGATACATCTGAACAGACTGATTTAGATACCATATGTTGGTGTAAAATATTTATATAAAATGGTTGTAGAATGAATGCATGTAAAATTAATATTTCTGCTGTATTCTTTTGTCACTTTGAAAAAACTACACTGTCTTTACTCTGTGCTGAAAAATAGAATAAATAAAAAAAGCTACAACTCTGTCTTGAACCTTTTAATTTATTTGTTTTGCTGGTATTGTGACAATAAAATTAGTTGGTGTCAAAGAAAAGCTGTAAAGATTTTCTGAAGTACTTATTCTTAAAAAATAAATATAAAGATTAATTATATGTGATTGAAGTCATGTACCAAAGCTGTTGGTTGTTCAATTACATGAGCTATTACTATAATGGCTATAAATACTACAATGGTTGTTGATAAAAAATAATCAAGACAATAAGCTTAGTAAACTCTGAGTGTTAGCCCTCACCAGCATGTTTTACTCGTTTCCCTGCTATTCAGCAGGTCTTCAGAAGATTGTTAATCACTCATTCATTCAAACCAGGCGTGTCTAATCAGGGAAACATCTAAAAATCACTGCTTTGAATGTTGACCAACACCTCAAGAGCTTCTCTGAGCTTGATGAGACATTTTCAAAATATAATATTGACTTCGTTTTTTTTTTTTTTGGTAGTATTATCTCTGGAAGCCATTGATTCTTTGCCATTTTTTTGTAAATAATAAATCAGATAACATGTGTTAAAGCAGTGAATCTCAACCCTGGTCCTCAAGGACTCCTTTCCTGCATGTTTAGATGTTTCCCTGATTTTACTCACTTGGTTTGAATGACTGAGTGATTAACAGTCTTCTGAAGACCTGCTGAAAAGCAAGGAAACAAGTAAAACATGCTGGATATGGTAGGAGAAACGAGAGCTGGAAAAAGGAGCAGAAAAGAAGAAAGAGTGAAAACAAGGTTGAGATTTGGACATACAGGATTAATTATACACTTTTTGCAATATGAAAACATAATGTAGGGAAATGTGATTATTGTGGACAAAATTAAACCATAGAACATGTTATAAAAGAATTTCAGAAGTACAAAGAGAGACAATTTATGATAATACAGTTCAGAAACATTAATAGACACATTATAAAGGAATTTAGGGAGCAAACATATACAAATCATAATACAATTTTTGAAAAAGACAAAATTGTTTAACAGAATTTGAGTTTGATAGTAGTTTTTTGTATTATTTATTTATTTATTTGTTTATTTTCTTTGAATAGATAGCTTTGAAAATGTAAAAAGAAATACAAAAAAATATAAAAGGCAATAGTTGTAGTACATAAATAATATAAGTGAAATCATCTTGAACCACACTCCATACCAATAGGTGACGGTAATGCACACCTTCAGTTTATTGCCAACCGCCATTAAACACCACAAGAAGAAGAAGAACAACAAAATGCTGGATAACACTGGCAGAGAGAGTGGGAAGAAGAGAGTAGAGGGAGGCTTTATTTGAGTTGTCAGCCTTTGATCAAAAACAGCAGAGGTTTAATATCAACTTGTCGGCAGGATCAAGTTAAATTAACCAGATTCAGATTGGGGCATTGTGGACTGGCAGGTTGTTTAAAAATAATAAATAAACATCCTGATGGTTTATGTGCATGTGGAGAATCAGAAAATGTGTTGCATGTCTTGATGAGCTGTCCTAGATATTTAGGTGAAAGACAGATTCTATTTAGTAAGTAAGTAAGTAAGTAAAGTTTTATTTATATAGCACCTTGCACAGAAATAAATTCACAAGGTGCTGTACATTCAGGGAAGGGGGTAGTTAAGAAACACCCATTCAAGAGACACACAAGACAAACATGGGCGAAGAGGTGAAACCGGTCATGCAGCAAACACAGTGCACTACGTTTAACAACAGCTTGAAATACACAAAAGGAAAATTGAGTTGAACAACCCGCGAGACGGCAAGACAGCCTGGGGTCGGGGGGAGTCTTAGTTCAGATAACACATAAAGGGGAGGTAAAATGGCGGGTTCAGAGGAGTAGGTGATGTTGAGGGAGGGTGGGGGTCCATGCTAGGCCCAACCCTGGGCCCATCCAGAGTCCAGAATCCCATGATGTTATTGTCTCTACTCAGTTCGCTAGAGTTTAGAGATTTTCCTCCCGATCAGCCAGTTGAGTTCCAAGGCTGGGTCCAACACGGGTGGTGGGGGTGGGGGTGAATCCAGCTCTTAGTTGACATTCCATCCTGGGGAGGTTAAGATAAGCACTGCCCTCAAAGCCTTGCCGCTGGGAGCCAGATGGCTAATCCAATTGTTTTGGAAACAAAGCAGCCTTGAAATTCCTGCTGCTTTTTAAGTGTCTTTACTGCGAACTCTGAGGTGGCGAGAAAAAAAAAGCCAATCAGCCGAATTTGGGGTCATTTCTCTCCTCTCACCGATTGAAGCTCACCCAGATGCCGAAGGGTCGCTCCTGAGCTGTGATCATCAATCACATCCAGTTTGCAAATTTTTTCCCCAGCTGAGAGTCTGTGTGCTACCAGCCCGGCAGAATCCTTCAAGTGCACCCGACAGCTCTTCAAAGGCCCGATCCACTGTCAGGGTTGCTTTCACTTTTCGATAGATCTGGAAACCTCCTCCGCCGATCAGCAAGAATCCAGTTATCATAGTCCAATTAAATAAAGATCTTCCATGTCTTTGATGGAAAGTGGTCTTGGCATATCAGATTTCAGCCCCAAGTGTAGAGAAAAAAATAGTGTCAATTTAATTCAGAGTCCAGTTGACCAAATCCATAATTCCTTTAGTTTCGGATGGAAGGTGAAAAAAGAGCTTGAAAAAGCAAAAGTAGCAAACCCGGGGGGCGGGGGCACGTCCTGCTCCTCTGAAGGCCAAGCAGAAAAATCAAATTGTATATAAATATTTAAAACCTTATCAGATTTGGGGCTTACAGTGTTTTCTTTAAAGACAATATTTTCTTAAGATTCCAACTCATCATTTATAGATAAAACAGTGATTAAGTTTTTACATGATACTGGACTTTATTATAAAATTTAGAAAAAGTAGATGATAAGACCTGTGGAGGGCAGCATTATGGTATGTTGCATACAGCCTGCAGTAGTTTATTAGAAGAAGAAGAAGAACATGCTGGATATTGGTATGAGGACCAGGAATGGGAACGACTGCAGTAGACAAACTTCAAAGGCAGTAGTTCTGGGAGGGAGACCATGACATCCCTCTCGAGCTCCTCCTGGGAAATCTTGAATTGTTCCCGAAACCCATAAGGAATAGATGGTCCCTCCAGCAAGCTCTGGAGTTGCCCCAAGCTTTTTCTAAGAAGAATGTGTCAGGAAAACCTCTAGAGAGGGATGACTGTGGAACATTTGAATGTGTTCGGTACAAAGAAGAAAGAAAGTCAAGGCCCAGTTTAAATTACCTTCATTGTGTTCACGCTCACGCCCATTAAGAGACGATAGTATAAATGAAGATATCTGACAAACAAGAGCACAGCATATAATGAAGCCAAACAGGTGAGTACTGAAATACTTATTTACAGCCTGGTGCTTGAAATCAAGTTTTGGGGCTTTTTGGTGGGAGAAACTGGTGCATCCTTTGGTTCCCATTTTTTGTTGCCTTTTCACAGGTCACAACTGAAAAAAAGAAGGCTTTCCATCCTTGGATGCCTGCTTGGTTTATTTCTGCAAGCTCAGGCTCAAACAAATTTGGATAAATGCCTTTTAAGCAACACTTACAGACCTCCAGGTTTGTGCTATTTTTTATTCACTGTGATGTTCTCAGACCATTATATTTCAACCCTCACATTTCTTTGATTTACATGCTTTTCTTTTATTCTCTTCTCTTCCAGCAAACACAGACATCTCAGTAACATGTGGAAGCCAGTTCATGGACCTGAGCATCTACATATGTCCTATTTACAACGCTTTGTACAACGAGTCACTGATGGTGCTCAACAACCAGTTGAATAACCCTGCTTGTTTCGGGATGGCTGACTTCAATTCTACTCCACCAGTTTTAAGATTCAGATTCCCAATAAATGACACTCTGTCTTCAAACTGTGCCAATAAACATGTGGTATTTAATTTAAAAGCTTTCTGCTACAGTTGAGTTCACATGCTAAAATGTTTGAGTCTTACTAAAATACATTTTATTTTTGTAGATAACCACGCAGACAGGAACCGGAGCATTTTCAGATTTCTCAAACGTTCAGTCTGTCAACATCTCTGGCGTCGTTACGGCCATTGACCCTTCTGCAGGTACGATCACGTATCGTTCGCAGATCCTCTACTACTTCTCCTGCTCCTACCCTATGAACTACCTGCTCAACAACACCCAGCTCAGTGTGTGAGTATGCCAGGCACAATTATAACTGGACGTATCGATGAATAACAGAAAAATTACAAATCTGATCAATTTTATTTCTTTTTAAATGCAGATCAGGCACGAACGTTGCCATAAGAGACAACAATGGTAACTTCATCAGCACCCTTAGTATGAAGCTGTGCAGTGTACGACAAACTGTTTTATTCACTTTTGTTTATCTTTATGTGTATTTTTATGACAGCAAGTTGAAATATTGTTTTCTTTTCCATAAAACAGGATAGCGCTTATCTACAACCGCTAGTGATTCCATCAACAGGACTCAACATCAAGACCAAGGTTTATGTAGAAGTTAAAGCTACTAATCTAACAAGCAAGTATGTACACTTTAAACAGTTTATTCAAGACCAGTCATATCAGAACAAAACATGAGGGCAGTTATTAAAGTCTTGGTTTTCTGTCCTTAAAAGGTTCAACGTTCTGCTGGACAGATGCTTTGCCACAGTAAGTCCATTACCTGTTCAAAGCAACTACTACGACCTTTTTGTTGGGTGAGTTACAATCATAGTACCAGCTTTTATTTTATTATTATTTGTTGAATGAGATCTTTGTACTCTTTTTATTAAAAACTATCCCCCAATCTCTTGTTGCACTGAAGGTGTACCCGTGACCCTCAGACAGTCATCGATATTAACGGAGCTTCACAATCAGCACGTTTCAACTTTGAGGCCTTCCGATTTGTGGAACAAAGAAATCTGACAATTTCCACTTTCTACCTGCACTGTCTCACCAGACTCTGTGAGCCAGCCACATGTAGCTCCTTTAAGCCCGTGAGTACATTTTACTTACTGTAAAGGTTTCTGTCAACGTTGTTAGTAGAATGACCTAAGGTTGTTGTTTTTTTCATTTTATTTCTTATCTTTAGGTTTGCAGTAAAAGAAGAAAGAGAGAAGTCCAGGGCGATTTACCCTCGGCCACAGTCACCTCTAATCCTGTTCATGTCAATGGCAAAGTTGGTGCGTCATCATGCAAAAAATTGTAAACACACATAAGTTTAATTTTTAATATTATTTAGAATGTATCCAGACCTGGATGATTCTGAAGAAAAAAAATTCACCTTTTCCTATAAACTTCTGAGAGATAATTTTTATTTTGTAAATGTTGCTATTGGAGAGTGTAGCAAGGCAAGACAGGATGGTAGTCTGTAAAATGAGATTAAAAACAAAGAAGAGAAACAGAGTGAAGACAGAGCCAAAGATTAATGGTGGAAGCTAAAAGAGGAAGATAATTGCAGGTAGTTTGGTGCCGACTTGCAACAGACACTGGGTGGCAGTGAAGATCTACCTCATGACTGGGAAAGTGCAGCTAAGGTAGTGAGAGAAACTGGCAAAAAGGTGTTGGGCATTTCTTCCAGTCAGAGGAAAGAAGACAGGCAGCTAAGAAAAAGTGAAGTAATCAGAGAGATGCAGAAAGTAGGCAGGAGTACTGAGAGGCAAATCGCATATCAAAGAGAACAGTGGCAAAAGCTCAGGCCTGTGATGAGTTGTGTGAGATTCCAGACAGGAAATAAGGAGTAAAGAATTTGTATCGTTGGGCTAAACAGAGAGATAGAGCTGGAAAGGACATACAGCAGGTTAGGATGATAAAGGATAGAGAGGGAAACATACTAGTAAATGAACAGTGTGATGAGTAGATGGAAGGAGTTGAAGAACTGATGAATGAGAAAAATGTCTGTGTGGATCTAGAGAAAGCATATGATAGGGTGCCAAGAGAGAAACTGTAGTACTGCATGAGGAAGTCAGGAGTGACAGAAAAATATGTGAGGGTGGTGCAGGACATGTATGAGGACAGCAAAACAGTGGTCAGGTGCAGTGGCGCCGGAATTGGGGGGGCCAGGGG